AACAGCAACACTATCAACAACAACAACAACAACAACAGCAACAGCAGCCACTTGGACACTCACATCCCAGTGTCCAAGCTTGGCGAGCCAATCGTCCTCGACCGACACCTCACCCCCGAGCCTGTTCTGGGCGTAGGTGAGGATACCCATGGCAGCCTCTGGTTGCCCAACCTTCTTGTTGATCGCTATCAGGGACTCGATGCATATTGCCGGATTCGTAGCGAACTCCAGCTCCTGATTCGAGATAATCAGCATAAATCATAGGGACAATTGAGGCATTCAGCAAAACTCTAGGCACATGACACATATGATGGAAACAGGGGCATCTGAACAGGTAACGAACCATCGATCAGTATGAGATGGGGGAATTCATAAGTATGCACAGGATGTGAGTCTTTGGGAGTCGAGAAATTCACAGAAGGCACAGGATGTACGTATGAAAGTCGAAGCATTCAGCAACAGGCACAGGACATTGTACGTATGATGGAAACAAGGGCATTCACAACAAGGCACAGGAAACGAACGATTAGTGTAAAGTTGGGGCATTCGCAAGCGTGAATCTTTGGGAGTCGGGGCAATCACAGAAGGCGACGGAAGCATGTATGAAAACCGAGGCATTCAGCAATAGGCGCAGGATACGTATGAAAACAACGACATTCAGAAGAAGGCACAGGCACAGGATGTATGTATGAAAGTCGAGACATTCAACATCAGGCACAGGGTACGAATGGAAACCGGCGCATTGAGCGCAAGGCATACGGAAGTCGAGGTATTCCTCACGAGGCAAAGGATATGATTCACCAGTGATTAGGTAGAGGCATTCAGCAGAAGGCAAAGGATATGCACCTATGGAGGTTGAGGCTTTCGGTGCAAGGCCCAGGATACACACGGGAGTCGAGGCATTCCGCAGAACACACAGGATACACACGGAAGCCGAGGCATTCAGCAGAGCGCACAGGATACGCATGCAAGTCGAGGTTTTCAGCAGAAGGCACAGGATATGAACCTTTGAGAGTCGAGGTACTCAGCAATAGGCACAGAGAAAGAACCTTTGGGAGTCGACGTATTCAGCAAAAAGCACGGAGAAAGATCCTTTTGGGAGTCGAGGTTTTCAACAAAAGGTACAGGATATAAACCTTTGGGGTCGGGGTATTCATAAAAAGGCACAGGGTATAAATGAATCTTTGGGAGTCGATGTATTCAACAAAAAGCACAGGGTATGAATGAATCTTTGGGAGTCGATGTATTCAACAAAAGGCACAGGGGATGAATGAATCTTTGGGAGTCGATGTATTCATCAAAAGGCAAAGGGTATGAACGAATCTTTGGGAGTCGAGGTGTTCACAGAAGGCACGGGACATTGAAAAATACGCCAGCAGCGTAAGGCACATCGAGTGGGATTTCTATTCACCGCTTATTCTATTGAAACGTGGGGCTCGTTAAGGGAGTGCCTGCCCCAAATGTCGGGACAGTGGCTGCACCAACACGAAAAAAAAAAGAAAAAAAACACACAAGCAACACACACAAATCGGAATCTTCCATCGCTTTTGTCCGGACAAAATATACCGGGATCTTCATCGCTTCGTGTCGAAAGGCGACAGTTCAACATCGGAACCGTCGTTTCTCTCTGTATCGGGACCTTCATCGCTTCATATCGTCAACGTCACCGCCACATGCATGTTGGGAAAGTGGCCGCTGTACATCGGGAGAGTGACCGCACTTCCATGACCTCACCTTGTAGTGGAGAGCTTTCGCATAGGCGTGGCATCGTTCCGCGAGGTTGGACAGCAACCTGATGTCGATGGGCAGTGCTTCACCCTGCCACGGATTCAGACGAGAGCGGATAGGGATGCGGGAGAGATGAGGTTGTATAACTTAGGCGTTGCGTTGCTGTCGACGAGACGGTTCAGAAGACGCTATGTTTTCGCCACAGCCGCTCCTTCTGCCGTGGACAAGTCGAGTTTTGAAGTCCACTTCAGGAGGTGTGGGATAGCGTTGACATCTCAAGCGATACGTTTGCGGAAAGCTCTCGACGATGCGGCTCCGAAGACGTTATTTTCGCCACCGCCGCTCTTTCTGCCGTGGACAGATCGACTCTTGAAAATCAGTCCAGGGGCTTTGAACTCAGTCTAGGGGGTGTAGAATCCTATGATGGTCTACCAGATACACCTCTTCTTGTGCAACGAACCACATTTCCATTTCGCGGTGCCCCAGTTCTGGTTGTACCTCTTCTTCTCCACGTACAGTAGCTCCAACGTATGTTGGCCGGCGCTACTTTGTTTTCCTCTCGTTACCCATCTGCACCTGCATGGTAGCCGGCGCTACTTGTTGCACCTCCTACTGTCGAACTTCACGTCCCTCAACCTGTATGGTGGCCGGCGCTATCAGCTCTTGTCACCCACCTCTGCTGTTCGTCAGCTGCTTTGTCTGTAAAATGCGTGCCTTCACCGTAAGCGGTAGCCGTCGCTGCTTACTGTACCTCTTCGTCAAAAACTACGTGCCTTCCACCGTAAACGGCTGTACTTGCTGCTGTACCTCATGCACCCACCTCTACTTCGTGGTCCATGAACTCGGCAAGGTTGAGCAGCGTCTGCAGGATGTCGGGAGGCACATTCTGGTTTCTCATCACCTGCTTCAGCGACCGCACCAGGTGCGACTGCGAAGAAAAACGAAAAAACGAAAAAACGAAAAAAACGAAAAAGGTTTGTGGTTGGTCCGGCACTAAGGCAATACATTGGTATCATATACTCAGCATATTTCGCTTCGGTTTTTTTTTCAGGTTTAGTTTCGCTCTCGCGTTGAGTATCCTCTCTCTAAACAGTGAGCAAGTTTCATTTGCTGGCATCCGAAGCGTAATGCGGCGCCGCTGGCCGTGTTTAGGTAGTACAAGGCTCGCCTCCGGAGTGGGCTCATCAGAGCAGAGTAGTATTGTAGTGTCATCAAGGCGTGTGATGCAAGATGAAAGAACAGCACACGATAGAGTAAATCTGCTGCCAGCTGCCATCAGTGACGCTTCCCAAGGTCGAATACAGCTCATATAGTGGGCGTGTTTTCGACTCAAAGAGAGTCCAGCGAACCTCAACGAACAAAAGAGAAGAAAAAAAAAAACGTATACCGTAAATTACACAAGATAACATACCCCCTGGACCGATTTTCAAATCTCGATTTCTCAACAACAGGAGGAGTCACGGCGCCGAAAACGGTGGCGTTGAAGCCGTCTCGCTGAGAGCTTTCCGAAAATGTATTGTTTCATTTGTGCACCGTCTTCGTCGTGGCGTCATCGAGCTTTGAATTTGGTCCAGGGGATGTGGTATCTTGTGTCACATACGCTAGTCTTACGGCACATCCACGTCTCCTCCCCAAAACCAACAAAAAAGTTCTACGGTAGGACTCCGTTATACGTGTGTTTCACTTCGATAGGCCTGTGCGTACAACACCAAACATACGACTTTTTTGCATATAGTACACAACGTGTGCAAACACAGCGGGTCTGTATTTCTGCATCGTACAGCAAGTATGCATAGTTTGCTTCCAAATTCTGACTCTTCATAATTCCATTATTTTGCACCTGTGACCCCCCCTACCCCAATTTTTTCGGTGTCGGTCGTTCTCAAAATTTCCATGTTTTTTCCTTCGCCGCAAATCGAGATTCTATGTCTACGGATATAGAAATGGGAAGTAACCATAATGGCTGGTCGCCCTGCTTGGGATCTGGGTTATACCCGTACCTGTGCATCCTCGGATAGTTCAAGCCAGCAGCCAACAAAGGCGGCGTGGAAAAGCGCGATGGACAGCGGCCGGTACGCCTGTTCAAGAAGTCACGAGAAAAAAAAAAAACATAGCGAGCGAGCGAAAAAAAGAAAACAAGCGGCACAAAACAAAGTTTTTTCTTCTCATTCAATATGGACGTCAGTTTCTATACCATTCATGTTGGCGGAAAGATGTTCGAAAAACAACGGGGTTTCAGGTAGAACAAACACAAAAAAAAATTGGTGGGGCCTTTCAATAGTGCAACAGCCCGGTAAGGTTCCGGTGAACAAATCGCGCGACACGGGTGAAATATAATCTCATAATAATCATTTTCTGATTCTGAATAGTGTCGTGGTGCCCGGCACAGCAGCAGTGGCATTGAATCTGGCGGGGGGCACATACTGCTGTACCTCATGCTGAAGCAGAGAGGCCTTGCCAACCCGAACAGGTGAAACACCGCCAGCCAGCCCAC